CTGTGAAAATGATCTCTAGGAACAGATACAACAGAGCCTTCTTTTTCTCGGTTCGGACACTTACTCGGGCGCTCAGGAGCAATAATTTGGTGTTCATTATTACAGCTATCTCTGCTAGGAAATTTTCTCTATTCGATTTTTAAAACCAAGAATATTGTTATTCGGTTGGAAAAAACCGCTCATGTAAAATTCTTCGACTTTGGGACTGCCAAACTGCAGGATAACTATTATGTAGTAAGCTTGTGTCCCGAGTTGTGGTTCAGGAGTCGAAGCGGCGCGTAGAAAATAAGATTAAAATTAGAAGAAAAGGGTTTTACTTGGACCAGCGACTGTAGACGCCGTTTATTAGATCTGATAACTTTCGAGCAAACCGGTGTATAACCGCCAAACTGTCTAAGACTGTATGATTAATAGGGAGAAAAAGAGTTAATCGTTAGGAAAACGGAACAGAGAAGACAGAAAACAGAGACAGTGTGAGAGCACTTTCCATTCGACCAGAAGTTTCAGCGAAAAATTGAGATAGTTTCATGTAACGAATGGGACCATGAACAATGTAAACAGTCATTGCGCCCAAGGAGAATGGAACGCGATTTTTCCGGTTGTTCAGGAACTTTGGACCACTTCGCCAAGTTAACCCAGTTTTCCGAAAAGTTTTTCCGGAATATTTCCGTCCCTTACTCGGATATTTCGAAAGCTTTAGTCGGAAGATTCAAAGTCTCGTATCTAAACGATGAACACGTGACGTCGGCTAGTCACAATCCTTTTAAATAAAAAGGGTTTTTGACTGATCGCGCGCGAGTAGGCAACACACGCAACTGGTGACCGGAAAAAAAACTGCAAATGAATTTCGTCAGGAGTGTTGAGCAACATCTTGAAACTTAGCTCGGTCACATACCCTAACTGTTTGCATACGAGTTAGATTTTTTCTTCACATCCGTGAAGAAAATCTTAAGAAGTTATCTGGTGGAATTTTGTTTCCATCTCCCAACAGCATTTCCATAAATAACACAAGCTCTACTAGATAACTTTTTCACATACTACGTATTAGGTAAGAGAACTTCATACATTTTTCGAAATAAAAAACAAACAAACAAACAAACAAACAAACAAAAAACTACTAGGTCACCGAGTTAATTTTTAAGACATTTTCCAAAAATTGAATTTTGTAGGGTCTTTTAGAAGTGCGCTGTACCGTTGCCATGGCAGCAGTTGGAGACTCGCAGACACCCTTGAAAATTGCCTGAAAATAGTATTTAACGATGGGCCTTTTGCAGATTAGTGCTCACATGGTGCAAAAACCGCCACACTGAAACGCAAATTGCGTACTGGGACATCTAAACAAAGCAAGTTAATCTAAATTTTCTTTGTTTTAGATGTCCCAATGGGCAATTTGCATTCCAGTATGGCGGTTTTTGTTCCATGTGATCACTAACCTGCAAAGGGCACATTATTCGCCAAGGGGAAGGCGATCATCGCCGATCTTCACCAAGCCTGGAGTGAATAATTGTTTTAGTATAATTACATAAGTGATTATTTGAAAAATATGCATTTTCTTTAAAACAATTAATTTCTTCGTCTGTGACCTCGACAAAAGGGCCTGCGGCCATTTTGAAAAAAACCGCTTAGGTGATTATCGCCTATTAATCACCTCAAATTCAACCAATCAGCGCAGAGAATTTTCAATAAACACTTATGTAGTTATACTAATAGTCAATATCAAAACGTTTCCCTACTGAAAGGATTGAAAGTGTGGTAATCCTTTTCCACTGGAAACCCACTGTTACCCGGGGAAAACCCTTTCTTGGAGGGTGTAAGCTGTAGGTTGCAGGTTATGGTTGCGGGTCATTGTTTCATAGCTGGAGCAACCAAAACCTTTATTAGTGCTAACATTAGGCCTAAAAGATAATGTTTAAGCCTTAGGTTAGCATTTTGGTAAAGGTTTGGGTTGCTTCAGTTATGGTAAAGCAGTGACCTACAACCCTAATCTGCAACCTACACTTTACACCTTCCGACCCTTTGTAGTCTCCTGAAATCAGGGATTGCTAGAGTATTTGTCACTCAGTTTAAGTTCATGGAATCTGCAAGATCATTATATAGTTGAAGTTACTCAGTCTGAGTACTTGAACGTCGTGGTCATGTAAAGGGATCCTTGCTGTAGTAACTGCATGAAAATAATTAAGGTTTATGTTACTACAATAAGAGTTCTGCAGTTTGCTTGATTATTTTATTATCAAATAAATGTTATTCCCTTGCTATGAAAAATCATAGGGGTTTCCCCTCTTGTTTTATGAAAGTTGGCATGGGTGAGGGAGGGCTTAAGGAGGAATTTTATACAAAGTAGTGAAACAGATGTAGTTTTTTGTCAGTCTGATTATCTCTGATCCTATGTAATAATTAATTATTGATTATTCACATTATTGGATGTATATTTACCATCCAATCGCAGCCAAAGACGGCTCTCTTTGAGGTCAAGTAATTATTTTCTGACCAAGCCATTTGGTTCACTATCAAGCTTAACCAGCTTTAATTTCACTTTTTTGTTTGGGTGAAAAGCCAATCACGACCTCAACTCATCCACTCATCCTTGTTTAGTGATGGGTCCAAGTTCAGGAAAAATGTGAAAATTTTCAACCATTATTCAATATTTGAACTTCATTTTGGTTTCAGATGGCTTGTGGGGCCTCGTAAACAATGCAGGCATTTTGTGTTTAGCACCAATTGAGTGGTCGCCACTGGAAGACTTTAAGCGAACGGCAGATGTCAATATATGGGGAATGATTGATGTCACTAAGACCTTTCTCCCACTGTTAAAGACGTCCAAGGGACGAGTGGTGAATCTGGGCAGTATGGCAGGTTAGAGGTTCTTGTATTACATCTACTGTTTATGGTTACACAATAGTTGTGCATCAAAGTCTTGACATTTTCTTGCATGTAAAGCCCTGTCCAAACGGGAAATTTTTGGGTGGGTGTTTGAACAAGTTTTTAATATGTTTTATAGGAGTTTGGTAGAATTTGAAGACCACCAAACATTTAATAAAACATCATTAATTAAACATTTCTTTTGTTCTCGTGTTTGGTAAGCGCTGTTTTTACACGTTTGGACAGCTACAGACAAGGTTGATGCACGTTAGAGCCTTGAGCCATAAATAATTGGTCATTATCCATGAAGCATCACGCAGTCACTGTTTTTAAGATGATAAAATAAAGAAGGCGCTCCTAGTTTTCCGTCGTTTACCTTCTTAATTTACTATTATCTTCTAACACGTCAATGAGCATTGTGGCAGCCAGACATCACATTAATTTGCTCAGCTGGATCTCTTATTCTGCCACATTGACTAAGTTGTTAACAAATCGATAAGCGAATCTAGCGGCCCACAATTCTTTGCATCTGAAGTTTAAAACATGTTTAACGTGCATTTGACAGTTTTTTGTTTTATTTACTCAATGGAAACACTATGGTTTTCTGCGATGAAACAATTAGAAAAATCCCATACCGATTTTCCGTCCGTGTCCTTTCAGCCTCTTAAAATTCGGATTTGTCACCACCGGTTGGGTACAAAATCCCGCTGGTAAGGAGACTGGGGATAGCAAAACGGTGACGTCAAAACAGGGCCCGAATTTTCCTTTTTTACATTCAGCAGTTGCTGAAACTGCTTCTGAGATGCATTTTCATTTTGGTTGCAGTAATGAAATTAGACAAAAGAACGAAATGTCTATCCCTAAAATTTCATGCATTCTTGTTTTGACGACACAGTTCTGCTATCCCCAGTCTCCCTACTAGTGCGGATTTGTTCCCCACCGGAAGTGAAAATTCCGAGTTATAAAAGCCCAAAGGACGCTGAAGGAAAATCGGTATGGAATTTTTCTAATCGTTGTTTTATCTCGGAAAACCATGATCTTTCGATTGAGTAAATAAATAAAAAAAATCTGTCATGTACACTTTAAACAATTCGGCCACCCTGTTAAACACTAATATGTCTGGTCACCCGACAAAGCTTTCATGCTTCTTGTCGCAAAACAATTCTCATTTCGACAGGGTTTGTTTATATATATGTTACACGCTCTGGGAACATTCCTCATTCCTTTGGTTTAACATTAAAGACATGCAAAGCATGACACCACTTGACATCCTTATCCCGGAGTTGTTTTAGGCTGTAATTTGCAGAGAATGAGTAATGCGTACATCTCTTCAATAAAAATAAGAACAATAGTAACTAGTACTCTCTGTATTGACCTTTTTGTTTTTCTTTTCAGCAATACAGAAAGTGAAAAATTACCGTGCCCTTTCCGATAACAGCATAGTTGTAAATGCTGTAGTAAAGGGTCTGACTTCACCCTCTCCGTCTGATCGCTATATGGTTGGCCTAGACGCTCGCTATATGCTCATACCTTTGGGCTCTTTGCCAGCATTTATTGCCGACTTTATCTTCCGTGTGCTGTTCAGACCACCACAAGCACGTGCTGGCTAGAGAGCAAGTGCCACTATGTTAGTGAACAGCTTCTGTTTCATTTCAAAAGGAAACTTTTTTCTGTTTTCATGTCTTTCATAATAACCTAGTCTTTATGTTTAAATGTAGAGGCAACTAAAGAAAAAGTTGAATAGTAGAGAGAACGTTTTGCAAGTAGCTAATAAAAGTCCATTCAAATTAACAATGACATTGATTCTGTTCTTGCATATGAATATAAGACTTAAGAACTTGACTGAGGGAAACTGGCTACCTGTAGTGTTGAACACACATGCATCTCTTCATAAGTCACTCAATGTTTTTATTGGAACAAATAGAGAAGAATATACTTCAGACAAGTTTTTCACTAAAACATTGCTGCTCTCAGTTATGTGCAAATCTCTTAATAGCCTGTACATTGGCTGTCTTGTTTTTTCTGGAAGCCAATGGATGATCTATGTATAGACATATTTTTCCCTCTCATCTGATCCTTTCATTTTTGTATCATGTTATTAATTAAGGACATGGTCAGACATGGCAGAAATCCCTAAATGTTACAATCTTACTGGATTGCAGAATTTCCTGTCCCTTATCATTTCAAGACAAAGTTAACTAAGTTAATTCGAATTAGTCAGATTTTTTCACCTAATGTAATTCACATCCCTTTTATCTTTTCATCACATTTTTTTGCATATGGAAGAGAATACGTTTGCTTATGTCCCAGAACTCTTGATCTTTATTTAACGTTAGGCTTTTAAGACTGAAGTCACCCAAGTGGTTAGTGTAACACTTCATGAGCAAGATTTAATTTGCTACAACCTATGAAATGTGATGTGCACTAAACAGGATCAGTTCTTTAATAATACATAATAATAATTATCGTGAAATGTTATCATGAGCATAAAGAACACAGATGAAAAGCACTGAGAGCTATCAAATGGAAACCAATGAAAATCCTGTGAATATGTTAATGGCAGACTGTGGATCCAGACCTTGAGCTAAGGGAGGGGGCGGGGGGGTTGTTTTGCTTGCCCTGCCGGCTTTTTTTCCTTCTGTGATTTTTTCTTTTTTTCCCGAAATATGAGGTGGGGGCCCAACCCCCCTGGGCCTTCCCCTTGATCTGCCACTGCATGGTATATTCACAAGATTTTCAAAAGTTTTTCATGCCATTTTCAAGGAATAATCCCCCAGGTTTTTCATGGGTTTGATACCATGAAAATTGCATGTTTTAGGGTCCATGAAATCTCTTATCTTTTAGTCAAGGCCATTAAATAACCATGGAAAAACCATTAAAATGCAGTGTAGACTGGAGCTGGTTTTTAATGGAATTTTAATGGTGATGAAAATCCTATGAATTAAACAGCATGAGTTTATGGTAAATTTTCATTGGTTTTTCATGCCATTACAAGTTCATGGCTCATGAAAAAGTCATTGTCTTTCCCTGAATATGGCCATTTTTATGGTCCATGAAAATTTTCTCACTACTTTAATAACCTTTTCACAGAATTTTTATGGTCCATGAAATCTAGCTCCCTGTTAATTTCAGGGAATAAATGATTACAACTGCAACCCATGAAAATCAAATTAATAGTCCATTAACTCAAAACAACTAAACACTTTTATTCCAGTCATTGTGATATCATTACAATTTGTTTCATTATAATTTTCTAAAATCTTATTTGCAAAAAAAAACAACAAAAGTAATAATAATAATCCACTGGTTTGTATGGCTTGGACATAAAAAAGTATCCTGGGTACTCATATGTCTGGACTTATTGAGAAGTTATGTCAGGCAACAGAAAACACACTTGGCTACTGGTTCAAAGACTTCTAGTAAGATGCACAACATTAACTGCTCTGCTAGGTTGCCCTCTCTAAACGTTTTGTTGGTCATTTCACCTGTAAAAATTACAAATCAAATAAATTCCTACTGATAAACTTTTTCTTACCTCGAATTCACACACGTTTGGAGTTTTCTTTTTTTTTTTTTTTTGCTTGTGAGATCATAGTCGAGAAAATGGATTAGAACTTCAAGTGCAACAACAGAATGGTAAGTCCTGGGAGATTACATTCACAAAAGTGCAATTTTTTGCACTCTTCTCTTCTGAGCTGTTTGCAGAATCTCATTTCAGAATTGTATTCTTGAACGAAATTCAGGAAATTCTGTTGCTTCATGACACGCGCCTCCATGAATTTCGTTTTAGCACAAGCAATGTAACTTGCCTTGAATTCTGGAGATTGCTGTCACTTACATGTAAGCCTGTGGCTTTTTAAAACTTTGTATTGCAAAAGCACAACACAAACTATTGTGCGAGCATTTCTTATCAGGAAATATTTGTGAATATTCTTAATCGCGGGTCCTAAGAAAATCAGGAACACGAGCATTGGTCTAGAGTTTCAATGAAATGAATAACAACAAATCGCTTCAGCCATTTGTAATGTCGAGCAAAAATTATAATTTACTTACTTTTCTGCGACTTCCCTTCCCTTCACTGAAGCAATCACGATGCTCATTTGAACTTGCACGCATCATTTTAAAGGGAATTCCATGCTAAAACTATTTACAAAGATTAAGATCGATATCGGGTGATATTGAGTGAAAACCGACTGTTTCGGTGTGGTCACCCGCTGGTCACAAGTATACATTTGTCACATTTTCCAAAGCATTATGGGACGGAAGCATCAAAATGGCGGTCAAAGAGTTGGGATTCGATAATCACAACTCTGTGTTCATTTTAAAGCCTTATTATTCGTTGGAAATTAGTCAGAAATTGTTTCCAGATGCTCGTTGTGATTCCAGTTGAGTCAAGCTCTTGTAAAGGTGGAAAAATATGGAATTTCATCGGCAAAACAGTAATCAAGCTATGTATTTTACACTGGTCGGGTTTACAGAAAGCTTACGGCTCCTGCAGCTTTCCAACAGGTAAACTGATTTTTTGCATCATTTGCAAAAGCTCTTGAAATACTGGAAACGTATTGATCATCATGCAAAGATTCCAGAAGATTAGGTCTTGTTGATGCGATTTCTTGAATTCAAATGTCCATTACTTTACGAAATTATGAAAGCAACATTATTCAACACAGTAATAAGCCAAGAATGTCCTGTTGAGAGCACGTTCCTCGTAAAATCTGTCATAACAATGGTTGTAAGCTCTCTCATTAAGTTTTCTGATAAAGCAATGTCCATCTTCTTGCTGTTAATTTTCAGGATGATGGTAGTGCTCTTGAGCAATATTAGAAGTTCACATAACACCATCAAGGCCTTTTTATTTGCCACTAGCAATTACTAAAGTTTCAAAAGACTGATGATGTCATTTCAGTAGACAGGTTAAAATTCGCCATAATTGTGCAGAGTTTTATAGGTTATTTTTAATTTGGCTTTTTTATGCAAAGAAAGGTTATGTAGAACAGCAAAATAATATTATTCGAACAGGTTACACAAAATCACTCTCAGGTAGTGTAGTTCTTTAAATTTACTTTGTATGTATGCTAAGTATTTCTTACCTTAATTTTCATGACCCACAATTCATGTATAATTTGTTGGAAAATTCATTGGAAAATACTTATATAATTAATAGCCCTTGAAATTTAATTCTAAAGATCATGATTGTGCTCTTCATTGGTCATGAAATGTAGCTTTCCATTTCATGGTAATTTTATGCCCCATCAAATCCCACTTTGTTATTTGTTCTCAATTTTTTTATGCCCATGAAAGTACTTTTCATGGATCATAAATTTTATCACTTCAGATTTCATGGATATTTCATGACAATTTAAAAGCAACTTTACAGTGTTCCAGATTTTTCATGGCCTTGAAAGATTTTTTCATGGGTGTTTAATGACATCAGTTCAAATTTCATGGAAAACGATGATTGTATCAAGAGCTGGCTGGCTATGACTTGTGTTTCTAAAGTTTCCTTGGCACAGGTGTAGCCCCCTGAGCTGTCTAGGATGCAAACCATGGCCCATTCTAAATCAATAGGGTACAATATACAAGCACCTGATTGTGGCCAATTTCTAAGATTGTACAAAGGCGTTGGAGGTCCATAATATGCAGACACCCATTAAGAACTTGTCAAGGGTGGTACCATTTTCACACACAATTTTTTAAAAAAAAAATTATAGTGCAACTGTCTATTCTTAGACAGAAAATGAGACATTCTCATTAGAAGGAAAATAAAGAATCTGTTTATTTAAGAATTAGTCAGCTACCAGTATCACAAACACCAGGAGACTGAGACAGATGTACATGTACCTCCTATGGTTAGTGTACAGCTCTTGAGCTTCAGGTTCCTCTTCCATCTTGCTCTCACATTTTGCACCATTGTCTGGACTCCAGAGGGACACACTTTTGGGGGAATGTTTTTATAGCCGTTCAAGAAACTTGCGGGTTTTGTTTTATTGAGTCTAAAACAAAAGCACTCAGCCTCACCTTGTGGTTTTAAACCCGATAAAACACTTCTGCTCGTTTATTAAACAGTATGTAAGTTTTGTTTCTTGAGTGAGTAAGACTTGAGTAATCAAGTGCACTTTCATGTAGAAAAATGGCTATATGATTGAGATAAGACACGTTTGCATTATCAGTGATCTATCTTTGTTTCTTGACTTACTACATTGTACTTTAAATAAAAGCAATAATCCAATAGAAACAAAAATCCAAAGGAAAAGAGAAGTGATTCTTTTAGTCTAGAGAAATAAATAACAATAATTAATAATCATTTATTAATTTATATTGTGCTTTTTAACATACAATGATCAAAAGTGCATTACAATATTAACATATACTAAATATGTACGTAAACTAAATTTAACAATAATAACGTAATTTAAACGCTAAAGGCTTAAAACTAACTTACAGAGATATGTGTCAAGACAAGATTTAAAAGTTAAAATAAGACCAATATTGCACAGGCTTGCTGGGAGCGCGTTCCAGAGTGTAGGCGCAGCTACACTCAAAAATCTATCACCAAAAGATTTTTTCATTTTCCTGCTGGATGTAATAGAATAATGCCTGAATTGGAGCACAGTGAATAGCATGCTTGCTTTCTTACATTAATCAAATTGTTGATATAAGCTGGTGCCATACCATTTAGTGCTTTAAAAGTTAAAAGTAAAATTTTAATTTAATTTAACTACAGGAATTAGTTACAGGAATCGCCCCAGCCTGTGATAGCTGTGTGTTAATTGGGACATTGCCATTGGACATGGGCTACCCTAAAGATATTATTTTCAATGAGTACCATGTCTCAAACAGTGCTTAAGCCTAAACACCAATTGTTTTAAATGGCATTGATCAACAGTGTTTTAAGTCTAAGCACCACCCATTTTAAAAAGGTTAGCTTTCGATAGTTGTTGTGATGGCTGATTACTTCATGTAAGTGAAGTGAGACTGGTGCAATTCCTGAATTTAGTTGCATGTGGCCGTGCGGACAAAAATAAACAATGTATGTGCAATGTAAGTATATTTAATCAATTCAGTTCCTTCAATAGTACTCATTCGAAATAGTATTTTTAAGAGGTAGTCCATTTTAAGATAGTCCATTTTTGGGTAGTCCAATGGAGCAGTCCCCTTGGGGGCGGGGGGGGGGGGGGGGGG